TAATTATGATCCGATCTGATTCAGATTCGGCAATCTGGTAGATATGGCCATTTTCTACGATACTGCTCTTTCAGTTTTATCGTATCCTTAAAATTGTGCCTGTCACAGATTTTCGTCTTTTGTGTTGGCGGAAGGGGGCGGGGTGAAAATCGTTAGCTCGGCCTTACGAAAGCAGCGCACACATTCAGATAGCCTATCCATTCGATATAATACAGTAAGCCCAATATCGAGCAACACTTTGCATGTAGTATGGTAGGAGTCATCAGGTATAGTGAGCGGAAGAGTTCGGGCTAGCAACGCTATGGTCGGATCTGCGACAAAGCACAGATCAAGGAATCAACCCAAGGAATTTTTCACATGGCTGACTTGAGACAAGGATAGGTCTAGTAAGCCGTCGATAAAATCATGTCGTGACATGGGCACAAGGATATTAGACTCGTTTACCGAAGACCAAACAGTACCTGGCAAATTGAAATCACCAAGAACTTTCATATGATCTTTATCTGATAGCGAGGAAAGTGGAATATGCGAGCAAGTAATGAAAATGGAAAAGCCTGGGAGAATCAGTTTTACGTACAGGAATTCCAGGTCTTGTTGAACCTGGACTATGAAATGTTCCAACGTGAAGTTTGAGTCCACTGCAATGAGGACCACACCTCCACGTCGAGACGAACGGTCATTTCTAAAAATTATGTACCGACCTACCAAAACTACGGAACTAAGGATGTCTGGCTTTAACCAGGTCTCGTTAAACACAATATCGTGCGACGATAATGCGAGACTCTCAATAAAAGACTGCTTAGCTTACTACGTAACCGTCTAGCATTCTGGTAGATAACTTAAGGAGAGGAAGTTAGTTTTTCGGATGGGTTTAATTAGAGCGGGAAGATGAGGGTGGAGATGGAGCACTGGTCTGACTACTAGGAAGGGTTTGGGTGGCCTATTCTTCTTCTTGGGCTTGTACTCTTTCACAACCAAGTGCTGCGGTCAAAATTTGGCAGAGCAAATGGTTTCGAAATGATCTTTTGAAATGAGACGCTTATCTCAAAGGAAGCTATCTCCCTGGCATAAGAGAAATTAAATTTCTCTACCTTTAGCCATTGGCTTTTATTTTGCTTTGATTAAAACCAGCAGTTACATCGTTAGATGTAAGGTCAGTGGTAAGCCGTAATACCAAAACTTGCCGCTTTGGTGGGACTCCCACCAGTGGTCTTGGCACCTGTGATGGCAATATCTGGTGGTCCGGGGCGTCTTTTAGCTGGTGGGAGTGAAATGGATGGGCAAGCTAAAGAATTGGGTGCGGACTCGACGGACACGGACGCTACAGACATTTCTTACTGCATACTCTCCGAACTGACGCATTCAGCTCCTTAATCTGCATCACCAGCAGCGATCGTTGCCCTCGCTCTCACGCTTATGAGCGTTTTTCCCCCCGGTGACTCGCTCTCGCGCGCTCAGACTCACCACGCTTACGCTCCCGCTCTCGCTGCCGACAGCCACCGGCAGTTGCTGAGCGCAACTCCCGATTCAAATGCGCTTCTTCACCCACAAGCAAACCGCCGGCTTTGCACGCGATCTCTTGCATATATATATATATATATATATATATACGATACGACTAAAACCCCCAGGAATATACTGAATAAACCCTACTGTGAAGAACTTGGACTTTTTCATTTCGACTTGGGATTCTGAACTTTGGGACTTCGAGACGCCTCTACGCTCAAACAAGCTCTTTGAAGCCACTCCGCGTCTGTCTCTTGAACGCATGTCGTTTTCCACAGCACGGCATTCCTCACTACTATAATGCAGGCCGTTGTTTTGGGAAATGGCCCCAGATCCCTACACATTTTGCGTGCACTACGCTTTCGCAAAGCCAGCAAGGGATATTAGTCTGGTCATGGGTATCTGCTTCTTGGAGTTTTGTTTGGCACAGATGGCAGCAAAATCCAGAATGATGTCTTTAATTTTTTTTTTCGCGAAAAAAGAAGTTCAAAAGAAAAAGTAACCAATGTGCAGAGCAAATGCTTAGAGCGATGCTAAAGCGAAATCGGTAAAATTGAGATGAGAGAGGAGAGTGGTTGCAGCAACAGCTTATAAGTGAGAGCGCTACTGCACAGAAAGAGCGAGATAGAAAGAACAATTATTGAGATTTAGGAGATAGAGATAGATTTTGTATTTATTTAAATAGAATTTTTTTTATTTTTTCTTGAAAAAATAATTTTTTTAATTAATAGTATTCAAATGACATTTCTCGAAACTGAAATGTATTTACTATTAGATGGAATTTTTTTTATTGGTTTCGACGCGGTCCGCTGCACAATGGGTCTCGGCCATTTCATCTTAAACCAATTCTGTTTTATGTAACGCTATTTTGGGTCATATTTTTGCTTGTATCTATAAAACCGCACGCTCGATTATTGCCATTTTTGAATATGGGGCTTACCAATTTATATTCAACAAGAATATTTTTTTTTTCTAAATTTCGGTTTTTCGACTATTTACACCCGTACTCAAAAAAGAGTTAAGGGGTATATTGTATTTGTGGTAAAAGTGGATGTGTGCAACGCAGAAAAGGAAACGTTTTCAGTTGCTTCCCCCGCCTACTTCAGCAAGAGACCCGCTACTCATTCTCTTTCTCGCTCGCTCGTTAAATATGCGAGCGCACCCCCAGAAGCGACTCGCAGGTTCCTTCTCGTTTTTCATAATTTTGTCGTACGAATTTAACGTAATGCCAGAAAGGAACTGCTCATATATGTATACAAAAAATATAAGGACACAGGGTACAAATTTGTTCGACTTTTCCTAAATATCGCACAAAAATCATAAATTTTTCATTTGAAAGCTCAATATTTCCCAGACGGATGAAGCTACAAATTTGTCTGGTCCACTTCAAAGCTGCATTTATCAACTGTTCAAAATGGCAAAATTACAACCAGATGTAAGATACTTAAGTAATGTTAAAAAAACGATACCTCTAAGAAAAAGAAATTAAGAAAAAATACGAGAGGGGCTATTTATTTTTCTGGCCAAGGTCACTCCTAGCGATATTGGGACAAAATGGTAGTTTTCATACAAAATTTTGGACTTTTATGGATTAAACCTACATACAACTTTTTCATGTACGACCACGTTTTATATCGATTAACGATAAATCAAAATAATATTTCAAGCAAAAATTTTAACTTACACCATATTTGAGGTGGGTTTTTAAGCCAAGAATGCTTAGATCAGCTTAGTTCAACTTTTATAAATGAAGCACCATACATTGCCAATCTAAAAAACTGGTATCTCGAATTCATTCGTGGACATCCTTCGTTGCAGGACGAATTTCGTGAAGGTCGTTAAAATTAATTGTTGTGCCACAAAATATCAATGCTGTGCGCGAAATGATTGAGTAAGATCGTCATGTCCCCTACCGTGAGATTGAGGTTTCCTTGAATAGGACGTCCATTAATAAGACTTTCCGTGATCACCTCGTGGTAAAAAAGGTGTGTTAGCGTGGAAACCCTAACAATTTAAAAATTGAAAATAGAAATAGAAAATTGAAAATGGAGCTGCAATAGCTGTGCATAACATCTATACAGGTGAAGAATCATGGATGTATAAGTATAAGCTCGAAAAAAATCAATAACACTAACCGACACGAATTTTCCTTAAGGAACCGAACCGGCTTTTTCTGATAGATTTGAGGCTTTGAAATTGTTTGATGATATTTTTTTTTCTAACAGAACTCTGTTTTAAGAATTCTTAAACACTGGTATTTTTCACATAACTTAATAAGTATCTGACATCTGGCTGTTTACTTTTAATGTAATTCCAATTTTGCAACATGTAAAATTCAAAAATGTCAAAACAAAAATCGCTTAGTGGGTCAGCAATGTTCCAAGCGGTAAAATGTTATTTTTGGAGAGTTGGTCAACCAATTTTAGATCCGCGGTCTCTCCATAGATTTTATTGAGCAATGCCTTAAACAACGCCTAATTAATACACCTTTGCACAAAAAATTAATATTTTATATATATTTTTGCCTTTTCCTAAGTTTTTAATGTAAAAATTCTTTAAAAATACCGCAAAGCAATTAAAATTTTTGTATTTTAAAGCTCAATATTTCCCAGATGGTAAGCTAAAACTATAAAGTGCTTGAATCCAGTTTTTGGCTGCATCAATTAGCTTTCAAGAATGGCAAAGTGTATTACAGCCAGGTGTACGATACTTAACTTATGTGAAAAAGAAGAAGCACTATCTAATAAAAGCAAACAAAAATACTTTAATTCTTAAAAAAAAAATTAAAAGCCGCACGAGGCCTCCGTTAAAGTGCTACATTCGCGTGCTGCTACCGCAAAAAATGATGAAATTTGAATTTGAAAGCTAAATATAGTTCAGGCGTTAAGCTGCAGATACAAAAGGTCTGGGTCGGATTTATAGCTGCATTTGTCAGCTTTTCAGAACTGCAAAGCAACCAGATATAAGATACTTAAGTTATGTGACAAATAGAAGCACAACCTATGAAAAATACCATGAAAAAAAATACCAGATTTTAAAAATTCTTAAAAAAATTACACGATACGAAAAAATAATAAAGTACTACAACAATTTTTAAATCTATCAGGAAAAGTAATTTTGGTTCACAGCCTAAATAAAAAGTTCAATTTTGTCGAGTAGTGTTATCATTGAAGAAAAACAAAAAAAATCAGAATCAGAAATCGGAATTGCAGAGATAGCAAAAAAAACAAAGATTTTGGTGTAATTCATTTTTATAGCCGGTACTCAGTCAGACTTTAGAATAATTCCCCTACAACTGTCTCTCTCGCTCTTTTCCTACACCAACACCACCCGTTGGGGGGGGAGGGGTGGCAAGCTCTAAAAAAATCAACCAAAAATTTGGTTGCTCTAGCGTTGATCTAGTTGATAAAAAAAATATATTCTTTATATGGACAGAAACGGGTATAATAAGGCTTAGATATATATACATAATTAATTGAGTTGATTTTACTCACCTATGGGATTGACGACAATATCTCTGGGCTTGTACAATTTTTCCCATATGAGCAAAGTCCGCATTTTCCCATTTGTTGTAGCAACTTCAATACGATTAGTTGATGGGTCTGTCCAATAAAGTTTATCAGTAATCCAATCTAAGGCTAATCCTACAGGGGAAACTAAGTTCGAATGCACCACACGCTGTTGGTAGCTGCCGTTTATATGTGCTTTATTAATTGTACTACGCTCTACATCCGTCCAATAAATGAAGTCTGTATCACTGCACCAATCTAGTGCAACGGCGTGCTTAAGGTTGTCCAGTGGAACAATCATATCTACCTCGCTTGGCTCTGCTTGATTGTTTTTAAGTTGTCTTAAACGTATATCCTTACGGCGTGCTACCAGTACCAATTTATCTGCTGTACTTTTGCAAGTCTTGCCATCATCCTTCAATGAAAGACCAATGGGACAAACACACCGGCGTGACGTTTTGTTTGGCAAACACAAATGAGAACAGCCACCACGCAATCCTCTTCGGTCTTTTTGGCAACGGTCAGGGTATTCAGGTTGACGCGCAGGGTGATAGGCATGAATATCCATGGGAAAATGAAAATTTTCATGAACTGCTCTAAACTCATTTCCAGTTATTTTGTTAGCTGCAGATACTGTCTTTGTGTTCCAGTCTGTCCAGTACATGGTGTCTTCGAAGATAGTCAAAGCAAACGGGTGTGGTAGATGGGTGCTAAGAATTTTAGTGCGATCAGTGCCATCTAGATTTGAGCATTCTATAGCATGTTGCTTTGCGTCAGCCCAATACATTTTTCGATTCGGGTAGTCTATTGCTAGACCATTTGGCCAAGTTACACCTTTTGATACAATCACTTGTCTTTGTGATCCATCCATATTAGCGCGCTCAATTTTTGGATTCGGTCCCCAGTCACTCCAGAATGCTAACGCCTCGCCTGGATGGATTACAATGGCACGAGGCTTATCCAAATCATTTGAAGCGATTACGGTGCGTAAGTTGCCTTGAAAATTCGATACTTCGACACGTCGAGTACCTGAATCAGTCCAAAATAGTAAGTCATGAATCCAGTCTACAGCTATTCCGCCAGGGGACTCTAAGCCCCATTTAATTACGTCGCGAACTCTTGTTCCGTTCATGTATACCATTTTTATGACATCTGTAGACACATCCGACCAAAACATCAGACCCTTGCGATAGTGAAAATCTAGTGCAATCGCATTGTGTAATCCCTTAACTACAGCTGTATAACGGTTATTGCTTAGCGTAACACGTCGTATATCCCAACGATTGGCTACCAACAGAGTCATGGCGCCACCTAACGCTTTACAAGATCTCAAATCTGGTCGAAGAATGTAACCCATTTCACATGAGCATATAAATGAGCCTAGTGTATTTTGGCATTTTTGAGAGCAGACAGGACTAGTCAGGTACTGGCACTCATCTATATCGGTGCAGCTAATCAAATAATACTGGCTTTAGAAATACGGTCGTAATTAAGTATTCTTAACACTTACTTCACTCTATTTTTATCCATAATGTAACCAAGCCGACAGGCACACTCATTAGAACCGTTTTTGGTTTTTATACAAAGTTGTTCACACGGTTTAGGTTCAAAGCAGCTTTGCTCCTCAGGACAGTTCACTTCATCTTCACCAGAAGGGCAGTCGCTATGACCATCGCATATGTGTTTCTGATGCACGCATATCCTAAAAACGAGTACAATCAACTATTATTTCATGAAAGTACATAGTTTTTTACATTTTACTGACTTTAGGTTGGTGACGTTTTGCTTTGTAGGGCACAAAAATTGACCAGGGTCGCACTGTAGGTGGCAGTCGACCTCATCTTCAGCTGAAGAACAGTCTGCATATCCATCACACAGCCAGGTTCGCTAAGATATTGCATAAAATTTGTATACGTTAATAAATATTTCTATAAATTTTAGACTACATAAAAAATAATATGTTACCAAAATGCAGCGTCCATTGTTGCAGGAGAACTCGTCAGATCCGCAAGTTAGTGGATGCTCCACTATCCCACAGTCATTTTCATCTTCACCACCATCACAGTCCTGCTCTTTATCACATTTCCAGCGTTTTGGAATGCACGTTCCATCTGAGCATTTGTACTCATTTGATGTACACAACGATGGTTTTTGTGGGCAATTTTCTTCATCACTCCAGTCGCCACAATCATTATCACCATCACAGCGAAAACGATTGAGTATACATTGTCCGCTAGGGCCTCCAGCGCCAGCCAAACCACCGCGACACTTAAATTCGCCTTCAGGGCAGATGTTTATAACTGCTGCACATTTAAACTCGTCTGAGTTATCATTGCAATCGCGCTCACCATCACACCGAAACGCCAATGAAATGCAATATCCGTCATTGCAAGTAAAATGCTCTTCAGTACATCTAGATCGATTACAGTGCGTTTCGTCTGAAAAGTCCTTGCAGTCATTTTCACCATCGCACAGCCACGTTCGTGGAATGCAAAAGCCGTTTTGACACTGAAATTGATCATCCGTACAGTTAGTGTATGCTCCGCAATGTGTTTCATCCGAGTAATCACCACAATCATCGTCGCCATCACAAAGCCAGTACTTAAAGATACATCGAAAAGTTTTCGGACACAAAACGTGTACGCCACTTTTTTCGCAGTCCATCTGCAGTTTGGGGACCATATCTTCAATATTTTTACAGGTATTTTCGCCAGACCCATCACTGTGATTCTGGCAGCTGGTAACGGTTTCGCTCAGTTGACTGGGATCATCCTGGACAAGCACTGCCAGATTTACCCGAAAAGGTTTTTGTTTATTATTGGGTCCACCTATAAAGCCTTCACGTCCACGTGAATTGACTTTGCGATCACCTTCTCGTTGGCCAATTACTTCAGTCCGACTTTTTTGCGCACCAATGTTGCGAAACTTTGGAATATCGCCTGTGTTGGAATTGTCTGAACTACCTGTTTTATATGGGACTATGGTTTCCATGGTAAATACGGGATCATAAACTCCTGTGCCATCATTTTCGATTTTCTTGTTGTAATCTTTTCGATTTTGATATGGTGGGTAGTCAGGCATGGAGCTAAATTTCTCCCCATTTTTAGGGAAATTCTTTGCCAACTTATTTTCATCAAATTCCTCATCGTTTTCTAGATAAGCTGTGTTGCTTCTCAAACGCAGTTGCGTCTGCTTTAACAAATCTTGACGCCCGGACGTATTTATTGGAACCGTGCCTAAATTTACATCGCCATGGGTACTGCCACTATTGTTTGAACTATGCTCATATTGCTCAGAGCCAAATTTTGTTGAATACGCAAATGCAAAACCTATTTCAATAAATAATGTTAAATATTAGGTAATCATGATGTGGCTTTTGTATGGCTATATAATTTAATATTTCAATCACACGCTGCTAGTCAGTTACGGTACTAGGATAGAGATGGTGGAAGAGAGAGAGAGAGAGAGAGAGAGAGAGAGAGGCGTGACCTCTCCTACATTCATTCTAAGCTACCCTGGGTGTGTAAAGGAGAATGAGTGAGAGAAGGAGAGTGCACGAGTCAGGAGATTCAGCCACATTGTATTGTTTTCTTCATTTCGGCTATAATAATGACCCGATCGAGATTGTGCAATATTGTACATAGATAAGATGATGACTCGACTAGAGCAACCAAATTTTGTTTCCAAACTATTTAAAAATTTCGCCTTCACAGAGGACGAAAATCTGTGGCATCCACAATTTTGAAAATACGAAAACAACGAAAGAAATAATATCGTAGAAAGTGACCAAATCTACAAGATTGCCGAATCTGGATCAGATCAGATCAGATCGGATCATTGTTATAGTCAGAATGATCCGATCTAATTCAGATTCGGCAATCTGGTAGATATGGGCATTCTCTACGATACTGCGCTTTCAGTTTTATCATAGCTTTAAAAATGTTCCTGCCACAGACTTTCGTCCTTTGTGGGGGCGCAAGGGGGCGTGGTGAAAATTTGAAATACACTTGTAGCAGTGTGATATGACATGAGTCTGGAAACCGAATTTGGTTTCTCTAGCTCTTATGGTCTCTGAGATCTAGGCGCTCATCAAGACGGACAGACGGACGGACGGACAGACGGACATGGCTATATCGACTCGACTATTGATGCTGATCAAAAATATATATACTTTATGGGGTCGGAAACGTTTGCTTCTCTGCGTTGCACATATCCACTTTTACCACAAGTCTAATATACCCCTTAACTCTTTTTTGAGTACGGGTATAAAAATGACAGCAAAAAAATGTAAGCTGATAAAATAAATAAAAATTCGACGTATGGGTATAAAAGTAGAGTCGGTGCTACGGACGCGACTCGCAAGGTTCCCCCCTCGTTATCGCAAAATTTGGCGCAGAAAAGATCGCATTGCAGTCACAGGAAACGCATTTTTGGTTCGGTTTGTAATGTATTTCCATTATTTGACTGTTTTCTTATGAAATCACTAATTTCTTACTCATTTTAAAATTAATTTTCATTGTGAATGTCCTATTCGCACTTTTGAACATTACAATTTTGAGTTATTTCAATTAAGTTATTTTCCTTAGTCTCATGCAATGAATATTTTTATTAACTTTTTTAAAAACTATGCCAAACTGAATAACAAATTTTTAAAATTCGAATTAACCGTTTTCTTTACACTTTTCTTAAATATTACGGATTTTATGAACGGGTTTTTTTTGACCTATTCAAGTTTCGGGCAGTGTACATACATATGACATAAACTTATAAAAGTATTTTATGTTCAAAAAAATACTTACACAACCATACAAAGCAACCCAATGAGCGAAATAGAAAGGGTATCCAATACATTGCCACGCACCATACAAAGAATCGGACACTCCCGGGCAAGCCGTTGTTCGGTATTCGAGCTTTCTTGACGGTTAAGTGTTGTAGCGCTATTCAGCGCTTGCGTGCTACGTAGCTGGACTTGTGTACTGAATACTTCACTTCACTTATTTAATGAGTAGGTGTAACATTGATATATTAGATACTTTCATGTGCTACATAAAGTTCTTATTCACTGCATTAAAATAACAAAATGATTTTTGAGTAATTTTTTTAAATATAGTACTATGTACGTACATACATACATACACATACATATTTTTTTTTTATCACTGATAATGTATGAGTTCATTTTAAACGAATAGTCATGCTTTTTTTAATATTAATATGGCACCAATTCTGCAATGAACGGACTTTTTTTCGGATCCGGACGAACGAATTCCGTCGCCAAAAAACGTTTTTGGTACAAAGAAAATGTATTCTCTCAAAGCTCAGAGCAGCATAGTCTATTTTTAAGGTAAAGCATCTAATTTTTTTTTTATATTTTCAAATTTTTTTTCTGGATACATTTACATTTTCCGTCTCGGCTTTTAAAACTGTTGAAAATTTCAGTATCGCAGACGTAATGTATATTGCAAATACGGGTCCGGGGTACCAAAAGTGAACAGTCGCATGCCCATGTTTTAGCAATGTTGATGTCCCGCTTATATATATGTATGTATGCTACGTATTTACGTAATGTGTATATGTACATTCGTTACAAATTTCAAAACAATGGATGCATAATCTTAAATTCTCGTCTAAAGCAATGACCATTTCATAAGATCGAAGTGCTGAAAATGTGTTGACATATGTAAACATATACATTAGGTTGAGCCAAAAAAATGTTTTTAAATTTAAACGGGACACCCCTTAATTTTGTTATCTTGGGTTTAATAGTAATATTAAAGTTTTTATTTTTATTTAAAAAAAAATGGTTAGAGGTTGCTACCAAATTTAAATAAAAATTTTAATTTTAATTTTAAATTTGATTTGGATAATTTTGGGAAATCTATTGCATATATATTGATACAACTAATATAATTCAGCAATCGCCAATTTTTTAACATTAACTAAAATAAGAAATAAAAATACCTTATTATCAATATGAACTAGTTTCTAAGTTTCAATAGTATTTGAAAAAACCGACGAATTCAATTTTTTTAATGTGTATTTAATTAAAAAAGTGTATTTTTGTTTTCGTGGTAGCAACCCCCAAATATTAAACTAAAAATTTGAAACAAAAATTGTATAACTTAGGGGAAATAAAAAATGGGAAATCCGCTTGAAAAAAAAAATATTTGTTAAAATTTTGGCCCAGCCTAATATTCATATACATTTTGTATGTATTTTTCAAACTATTTATTTCTTATATATTGTTAAGTTTAATGTCTTTTTTATTTTGTATGAAAACTTTCGCGTGCTTTATATAATGCAGATTACACAATCCAACTTGATACATGAATTTTTTTAATAAAAAGGTTTACAAAATTCTATATACATATGTATCCCAATACTAAAAGCTTGCCTTTACATTTCTGGAATAGATGAAAACTACACAGCTCCGCTTACATACATATTTATGTACGGTCTTAAAAGTTTTTTTTATTTATAATATTTATATAAATATGTTTTTTTATATATCTGTATATGTATGTATATGAAATTATAGCAAATATTTACATATTTTGAATTATACATATAAATGTTGCATACATAAAGGAGCAGCCACTAGCACATGTGAAGCATGCGCATAATACACATTAATATTTAGAAAACAGCACTATATGTATATAGATGTTTATATACTCATACATATGAAAATATGCACGTGAAAATTGATCACATCATAATAAACCTTCACAAGTTTTTGCGAACTAGTTAATCTACGATATCTACTTTTGCCTTTTATTCCACATTTATTTACACCCCGCTCGAAATTTTAAATATGTACATATTTATGTCCATGCTAGTAGGTTATTCGGATTGTAGGTATGCTGTATAGTTAGGAATCTTTTGTTTGGCACACGCAACGGGATAAAGCACAGAGCTTGTTCCGTCGTGCTCAGTAAAATGACAAATGTAAAGTTTCTTGAGATTACAGCACCGCTCAGTTCAAAAGCGCAGACAGTGAAAGAAACGATTCACTAAAAGCCCTATTCGATATTAAAAGTTTTCTCTGTACACTTGAGCTTTAGCTTTCCAAATTCAAGCTTGCACCCTGTAGTCGTAACTTTTGATGTTGCCATTGAGGGCGAAGTCAATTCAGTGTTAGAAAAATATATACATATGAGAGAGTTGAATAGCCGCCAATTCAAAAACTAGCTGGTACGTTGCGAGCCGCTAAACTGTCCCTATCAAAAAAGGTATAGAAAAAGGCGCTGCCGCTTACGTAAATTTGTATTACAGTGCACTATGGTCAAAGGTTACTTTGGTTGGACAAAATTAACAACTCGACAACGAAATTTTAAATGAAATAAAATTAAATAAATAGTGCATATTAAAAAGTGATTAGTTATAGTGAGTAACATTTTTATTAAGAAATTAATTTAAATGGTTGCCGTAAAAAGAGACGAGAAGGAACGTGTGAGTCGCTTCTGGGGACGCGACTGTACTTTTATACCTGTACTGTAGTCAGTATATAAATATGTGAGCTTATGATTTATGTAGAATTTTGAAATATTTTACATTTTAAATCTGTTATCTATATCTACAATGTAGATTGTACTTCTTCTCCGCAAAGGTCGCGCATTGCACAAGGCAGAGTGTGTGCGAGCAAGAAAGAGAATGAAAAGCTTGGTCTCGTGCTGGAGGAGGTGGGAAAATAAACTGAAAATTAATTTCTTCATTCTTCAATCTGGTAGATATGGTCATTTTCTACGTACTGCTTTTTTAGTTATATCGCATCTTTAAAAGTGTGGCTCCCACAGACGTTTGTTCTTTGTGTGGGCGGAAGGGGTGGGCCGAAGTTTTTAAAAACACTTGTAGCAGTGTGATATCACATGAGTCTGCACACAAAATTTGGTTGCTCTGGCTCTTATCGCCTCTGAGATCTAGGCGCTCATCAAGACGGACAGACAGACAGACATACAGAGACTCGGCTATTGATGCTGATCAAGAATATATATACTTTATGTGGTCGGAAACGTTTCCTTCTCTGCGTTACACACATCCTCTTTTAACACAAATTCAATATATCCCTTAACTCTTTGGTGGAAAACGCTTTTTCCAGGGTGCTCGTTGGGTCAGAAAGGTGGCGGCTTTCCTATTGGGTTCTGCACAGCCTTGTGAATTAATTTAGCCTCCTTTGGGCAAAAAAAATACATTTTTTAGAACAAAATAGAATAACAAACAACTCTGTATTGTTGCTTTTGGGGTTATGATATTGTATACCTCCGACGTACCCACCCTACCAGAGATCCGGATCAGACCATATCGGATCTCCCTGCCATGTGCAGCATCTTTCTCATCCTCTCGCAGTCCTGGTTCGCCTTCCCCCCAATTTAAACAATTAGAACTTCATTCTTTCTTATATTTTCAACTTAAATCCATTCTTACGCACATTTTCCTATATTCCTATAATTCCCTATCTTGGTTTTAGGTCGACCTCCTATTGCTCCATCTGAAACACTTCCTCTCTTCAACCTAAACTATGGATATGGGCGTGTTACAATAAAAATGAATAAATTAATATAAATAAGGACAATTAAATATAAATACAAATAAATAAATAAATAAATAAATATAATTAAGAGTAAATAAATAAACGTATAAATAAATATGGGACGGCCTGTCGATTTAAAGCATTTAATTTAATTTCGTTTTAGGAAGCGAGGATGATACTTTTGTTGGGGTCCACTTCCAAGCCGGGCGAGAGACCAGGACCGTACAACCCGGGTGGTTGCAAGACCATGCCACTGTGGACAGGACGGCAGAACTGGGCACAATTCTTGCTCTTGTTTTTCCGCAGCTTTGTTGGTTCGTCTGTTTCAGTTCCGTCCCGCTAGACAGCTCTAAATACTCCTTCCTGTTTGTTTTTTTAAGTCCCGATCAGTAACTTTTTTTAGTTCTGCCTTCCGCTAAAGAATTTTCCGTTCACTCCCCTACTGGCTAAGCTTCCCATACCTATATCATTGGCCGCCTAGCCCCATCGATCTCTTCTATTGCCCTTGAACCAGGTTCAAGGGCATGGCACACTCTTCCTGGTAGCCGCTCTCTCCCCTTAAGTGTGTGTGGGTGAGTTGGCTATGTGAGAGGCGAGGCTCTCCTCTTTCAACAGGGAATTCGAGAGCGCGCGGATCTCTTGCAGTTTCAAGATCGCCCGACCAGGGGGCGCCACTGTCCGCTAAACACTTCCCCTTCAACCTTTCCCACCCTGTCTGGAAATCTTTCCCCTTCCTCGCTACTATGCAATTTTGCCAATCGATATACCCTGAAATGCAACACCTAGTGAAAATTCGGGAGACCATGGGCGCGAAGAATTATTCATAAACATTGAAGGAACTATAAATTAGGGCCGGCCTTGCTTACCGCGACCAACGTAGGCTTACACCCACTCCTCTACCAGTTTATACGTGAGTGCGTTTTCTCTTACTATCTCGGTCTTACTTTTTTTTCTACATTTTTATGTCTTTCGCGTGAAAAATCCCCACAGGCTTCCCCGACAGATCCTCCAACTCATAGGCATTGTTGCCTACTGGGCGTACGACTCGGTATTTTAGAAATTTTCGGGCGAACTTGGCGTTGTAGTTTTTGCCAAAGTCGCTGAGTGTGAAGTTGCGACGGAAGACTTCTTGACCCGGTCTGGCGTGAAATACTCGGGCCCGTTTGTTGTAGCGTTGGCTGCTCCGCTCATATGCTTTGTGTAAGTTTTTCTTTATATGTTTGCGAATGATCTGACGCTTATCAGAGGGATCCAGGGCATGCACCTCATGCTCCGTTAACGATTGAAACTTCCTCGCAAGCTTGTAGCAGTTTTCATTCAGGAACATTTTCTGTTCGAACACTGCGAAGAAAGGCTTCGTTCGACGACGAAAATCCAGGCCTGTCCCCTTTTCGACCTGGGATACTTCCCCAGGAAATCTATGTAGATTCTGGAATGGCCTCTCCGAATAACTTCCTGACCGATTTCTACCTGGCTACGATAATTCGGTGCTTTGGACTCCTTACAAGTGTCGCAGTTTCGGACATATTCCCGCAGTTGTGTCGTCATCGCTGGCCAGTAATAGTGCCTTTTTAACCGATGCAGGGTCTTCTTCATCCCACCGTGTCCAGCTTTGTGGACTTCATGGGCCTTGGCGACGAGAGTTGCTGTCCCAGACGCGGGAATCCATAACTTCCAAATTGAACCTTCCACTTGGTCGTCCATTTGCGCAAAGGCCGTTCGCTTGAATATAAGGTTTCCCTCTGCTCGAAGATCTGGTAATAATTCTGTTTTTTCAGATTTCTTCTCGCAGCTCCTTATACTCATCCGCTTCGAATTCCGTTGTATCGAATCCGAGGATCTCCGTGGGATATAGAGCTAGCTCTTCAATGCAGCTTGAGAGTGTATCCGCCACGATATTGTCGTCTCCCTTTCGATGTTTGATCTCAAAGTCGAACCTCTGAAGCCGTAAGGACTATCTTGCCAAACGCCCGTTCAAGTCCTTGAGAGACATTAGCCATTTCAGACATTTCATTAGCTTGCGTGATCAGTGATCACGGTAAACGCCATTAATTCCACGTACGGTCTGAATTTTTCTATCGCTAACACCGCAGTTTGGCACTCCTTCTCCGTTACGGAATAGTTCAACTGGAGAAAGAAGGGACGTCTGAAATCATCATGAACCAGTACCGGAGCCGTAGTGAGTGCCTTCTTAAGGGATTCTATCGCCGTCTCTGCCTCCCTTGACAACGAAAACTTCCCGCGCGGATGCTTCTTCAGCGCATCTGTAAGTGGCACTGCGATGGACGCAAAATCCTTGATGAAGCGCCTGTACCATCCTGTGGTTCCTAGGAAACTTCGTAGCTCCTTCACGGAATTCGGGTTGGGAATTCTCTGGATGGCCAAAATCCTCTCCGGATCCATCCATCTGCGTGCCGCCTCGACTTTTTTAATGCTATCGTTAAATTGGCCCTTTTCAGGCACTGTGCTACCAATCTCAAATACCGAATACCAATCTCTATAACTCCTAATTCCAGCATTTTGTCCACCTCGGCCCAGACCACTTCCTGCATCGCTGGAGATTGAGGATAGTGCCGATCCTTAAAGGGTTCAGCACCCTCCACCAACTTGATCCGATGCTCCTCTACCGTCGTTATTCCCAATCCAGCTTCTTCGTACGTCAGGAACTCCTTCTTGACCTTTTCCAGCTCTTCCGATTTCATTTTTTCCAGATCCCAAGCATCCACATCTACGTTCTCCTGGTGATCTTCGGCATATTGGCTGATTTGACTACTCGACAAAATTGAACTTTTTATTTAGGCTGTGGCCCAAAATGACTTTTTCTAATAGATTTCGGGGTATAACATTTTTTAACAAATTATGGTTTTTTTATGGTGTAGTTTTTTTTAAGAATTTTTTATAATGTTTTTTTTCAGAGGTAGTGCTTTTATTTTTCACATAACTTAAGTATCTTATATATCCAGACACTTTGTATCTGAAGCTTAACGCCTGGAAGATATTAAGCATTTAAATTTTAAAATTTTATGCGGTGTTTTTTTTCCGAAATTGACTTTAAAAACTCGGGAAAAGTCGAAAAAAAAATTCTTGGCCAACATTTTTAGTTTTAGATAGACGCATTAAGTGGGCGTCGTTTCAGGTATTGTTCATTCATTCATTCATTGTCGACGAAATGACGTTGCAGTGACCGCTGCTGGAAACAGGGTGGCTTTCCTGAAGCGGAAAGCACCAGCACTTTTTTGCAACACTCAATCAGATCGAGAAGCTGAACGGCACCTTTAAAACCGTGCACAGCGAGCTCGACAAGCTGGACCTCGATGACATCAACACTGTTGGACTTGCGTCGGATCTGGTTCCCACTTTTTCTGCGGTCTTGTTTTCGGGTCTGCAAGCATCATGGAGTTCCTGCAGGCGCTATGTTTTGTG